AACTCTGCACCCGGGCGCAGGCAGCCTCCTCACCTTCCTGACAGCCCCAAGGACTACAGGACTAATTCTTCCCACTGAGCTGGGGTTTTTTCTACCCAACTTTTCCATTTATTGCATGAGTCCTTGTCCTGACTTGAAAGTGATTGTTTTCAGATGTGCCTCATTTTTAAGAACTTTAATCCCATTAACTGTCAATGAAAGAAATTCATGCTTGTGATGGAGATTTAGGTAAAGCTTGAATTTTTATTTTCTTTCTGAAACCTTTATGAGTCTACTTTTAATTATGTTGGCATAGTAAAACTATAGTTTAGCACACACATAGTTGTAAACTGTACCTGCCTTTCCTTATTCCTAGAACTTCAGCTTTTATGTCCACAATTCCTATCTAATATGGAGCTCACAACTTCAATAGAGGCTAATAATTTTTTTAGTGTGAAAATGCTGTATAAATTACCTCTTTTCTGGTGGGAATAATCCCAGTCACTGGAGACATATTTTCCTTATAACTTCAGTACTGGATGAGTCATAACCTGAAATTTATTCTTAGAATTTCTGCTCTTTGGTTTTCTACCGATTTTATGGGAGGCTGTTGCAGACTTTCCCACAGGCATTCATTATACTTAATTACTCCTGGAATAGTCTGCAAATAATGGCTTATTCAGAGTTGCCCCTAACATTTCACCTAACCACTGTATGTGTTAATTTGGAAGCTGAGCCCTCCTTGCACAGCCTAGGTCTGCGTGGTTTGAAGACAAGGTTTAAAGTAAAGTTTCTCATACAGACCATTGTAATGTTGTTCTATAGAATATTTGGTGGACAAAAGTAACACGGCAAAAGAAATAGCATTTAGCGATCACTTTTCTTTGTCTAATTCTCCTTAAAATGTTAGCTTCCTTGATATGAGCTGGATCTCTTTCAAAGCAGTAACCATCACTGTGTTCTCCAGAAGGCTGACTGTCCTGAATTGAGATTGTATGAGTAACTATTCCAGTCCTCACTGAGTCTCTGCCGCCTTACAGTTAATCCAGGACAGAGCAATCTGCAAAGCCTGATGTTCTGTACCTTGGGTCCCAAGATCCATCAGCTGACAGCGTGTTTTATAGCAGCTGCCCCAAAAGTTTTAGTGATACTGGCCAAAACATGCAGTCTTCCCAAAAGAGACCTCTCCATCATAATAAAGTGTCGTGCTGATTTTGTTTTAGCCCTGAAGTACACCTCTGCTGTGTTTTATGTTGCTCACTGTTTGACGGATGGTGTGTTGCAGAGGTATAATCTTCACTTCCACTGCAAGTTTGGGCTCCTCAGTCAGAATCTGCAGGGGTTTGCCCACAAAAGCAACTCCACTCCACTTCTTGATGCCTGGTTTCAAATACCACCACATCCCATGCTAAGCCCACTCTTCCCCTGGCCAGAGAGCTGGCTGCCCTGCCGCCAGCTGGGGTACTCAACGGCAATAAATCACCAGCTAGAAGATAGTAACTACCTTCTCCACCTCCTCCTGACCTGGGACATTTTCTGTTACTAAGAGGATTTGGACAAACATCTGCCATCCAGGGATTTTCTCTGGGGAAACAAACAAACAAACAAACTAACTCTAGCAGATCATTTTTCTTCTCGTGGGGGTCTGGTGGTGTGGGCTGAGCTGTGCTGCGAGCCGCTCGCACAGAGGTAGCAGGGATCCCTCTTGGATGGGTGGCTGCGATGCACCAGTGAGTAAGTCCAGGGTGCATCATCACCTCTGTCTGCTGGCTGTCATCAGAGCTGCTCCATTAAATGTAGATCAGGAGCCAGGGTAAAAGCATTATGCCTTACAGCACTGCATTAAGAGTCTTCTTTTAGAAAGATTTTGAACTGAAATGTTTTTTTTTGCTTCCGCTCTCCCTTGAAATTTGCACTTCAGTGAACAAGCTGGAGGCCAAAGTTAATAGAGAAAGAGATCCCAGATTCTCAGATGTGTATGTATCTTCTCTAACTGCTGCAGATCAGTATCTGAAACCTTTGCACACCTTCAGATCACCTCACCAGGACAGGTCAGCTCAGGAGCGTAGGGCAGGGAGTGTGGGTATTGATTGCACAGAGCCAGATGCTTATGGTAGAAGTACAATTGTACTGGGAAAATCCTGTGCCATGGTTCTTGTACAAAAGCTGTTAAGAGGCAAGAACGTATTTTTTACCTTTTACACACAAAATCCTGATTGCCCATTAGACATTGTGTGGATAGAAAAGAAAGCAGAACTCTTCAGAGAGAGGTGACCCCACCACCCTGCTATGGAGTGGGGGAGATTTCAAAAGTCTGAAACTTTCCACTTCTGATCAACATGAAACAAGCATCCTTCAAATGCTGCAATGGATTTCTGCTGCATAATTTTTTAATTTAGTAATGCATTTCAAATCAAGTGCAGGCATTTACAGTCAAATGACAGACAGAACCAGTTGCCAAATAACCCTCTGCATTAGTCCTTAGCTTTTCTGGATAGCACAGAACAGCCTTCAGCCATGAGACTGATGATCTTGTTTAAATGTTAACAAATTACAAAAAAAAAAAATTAATCGTTACCTTGTTTCCCAAGTGATGTGTTTGACAGAACAGGTCCTGAGGAAGATGCTGCCTCTAAGAGAATTCAGCACTTGGTTTAAGGTGAGGAATGACCCTCCAAAGGGATGTTCTTCAACCATGCCTGAAAACTGTTTCTTTTAGTTGCATTTCTTCAGCCAGTAAATCAGAATGTTTCCCATTAAAGCAGTGTATTTACTTTCTCAGCATCCACTGCCTTCACTAGAGGCCAGGGATGCAGGAAACTGATGCTTTTCTTGAGTTATGGTGTTTCCTTCAACCCCTGCCCCTGTCTTGAACCTGACATGCCCCAAGTCTCCAAGCATCGTTTTTTTTCCTCCAAGAACTCCCTGCACTGCAAATTCTGCTTTCTAGCAAGCAGATACTCCTCTGTCCTGCCATAGTTCAGCTCATCTGGATCATATCCAGCTGTGATCAGGTCCCACCAGGATCTCCACAGCAGGACTGTGCAGCCTGTAGGCACAGACTGTAGTCCTGCCTATGGTGTCTGAGATGAGATAGGTGTTCTGGGAACAGTCTCTTGCACCTCTGTGCTCTCTGGGAAACACAGTGATTGCAACTACTTTCTTCTGAAATATGATGGTGACACTGCTCCTACTCTGTGGACCATTAACTTGCAGTAGAGAGCTCTGAGACACATGCACCTTAGTAGCCAAGGAGCTGCCAGTGCTTGGACGTGCTGCCCCAAACCCTTCTATGTCAGCAGACAGCAGAGCCATCAGAGCATGCAGTAAAGTCACCTGGTCACCAAGTGTTTTGGTCCTGCCATGTTAAGGCAGAGACAGCCACAGCCACGCACAGCAAGGGGAGAAAGCACGGAGGGCTTTGTCTTTTGCACTGTGAAACTTTGGTGGCATTGAGCCACCTGCTGATTGATTGTCTCTTTGTGGTCTTGCCTCATCTGGGCTTTTTCAGAGGACCCTTGGAGATACATGTTCCCGCCTGATCCCTTCCATCTTTACATCATTCCTGGCTCAAAGGAATAAACAGAGATTTGTTCACAGGCAAGACTAAAAAGTCTGAAGCCCAGAGGCCAATACAGCCTTCAGAGACCTGGTCCATGTGCTGTCAGCTGCTGGACTGATCAATTCCCAGGTGTTATTCCTTAACAGCAGTGCAAGTCATTTCACTCTAGCTGATCAATGTTTCCAACCCTTCAGCACTGATTGCTATTGGAATTTAAATGCTTACTATCTGATCCTGCTGTCCTTTCACATCATAACTCCTGCAGACTTCAACAGGACTTTTGCTAGCAAAAGGACCATAGCTTGTGGTTCTTCCTAGGACTGTTGTTCACTGAAGTCTCTACATCTGCAAAGTAGATAAAATAAATTAAAATATATATATATATTCCTGAACCTTTGAGCATTATTAATTAGTGCTGCTTTCGCTGGTACCCACACAAATGAAAAGCCAATATAGTAGGTGGTCCTTCTGGTGGCAGTGTCACTAGAAGAGCCAAGGACAACTGCCATGGTTTCTAGGCCAGAGTTGCAAGCATCTAGTGAGCTGGGTACAGGGAGCCCATATGGAGAAGAAAACCTTTCTCTCCTACTTAGTCTGGCAGTAAATATAGTCACTGAAACTGTCTTTTGAGAACCCCATATTAGAACATCTAATGAAGTTAAAAAGAAGGATCCATTTTTCTCAACAGTGTCAGAGTGATAACTGTAGAGCAAACTATCAAGACAAGCAGTAGGTTCTCTCTTCTCTTAAAATTTTCAGATCAAGACTGCACTCTTTTCTGTAAGTTGTCCTTTAGTTAGATGCCAGATCTTGACTCAGTATCAGAGGAAGTAGTTGTGCTACACAAGGTGAGTCTCAGTAACAGACTGATCCTTTCAGATAAAGCTAGGAAAAGCAAAGAGTGAAAGAGATGATATACTGCAAAGGTAGGATAGGTAACCTGCAAAGAGATTTAGCCCTGATTTAACAGTCTCTCTGATCTCACCACTTTCTGAGCAGAAGCAGCAACCAGACAGAGCCTCCTCCCTACACATCCTCAGTTCCATTGTGCTCAGGGGGGTTAGCAGAGTTAAGGCATCCGACTTCTGTTGTATCATTGGCAGCACATAGCTGGGACATGTGCGTCCTAAGCTGCTTATGCCTGGCCATTGCTTACGTGCAGGGGATATGTGAGCAGTGAGGTTGGGAAAGAAATACGTGGGTCTGCTGAAATGAGGGTATGTCTGTATTGCATGATGCAATGTGGTAGGGAGTGATGCAAACTTATGGAACAAGACGGGAAAATTGGATTCCATCAATGCATAGAGTTTCTGTCACCCGAGATAGATAATTTGAGAGGGATGTGGGTTTCTCTACTTTATTGCATAGTATACCAGGTTGACATCAGTTGCGATATGGGCTTCTACATTGCATACTATTTCCACATGGTAACGAGACTCACTTTCTCTCTCACTTCTAGGCTTGATAGTCTACTTAGGAATGATGGTGGGGGCTGTTATGCTGGGTGGCCTCGCTGATAAACTGGGAAGAAAGAAATGCCTCATCATATCACTTGCAATCAATGCTGCCTTTGCATTCCTCTCCTCCTTCGTCCAGGGATACGGATTCTTTCTCTTCTGCCGCCTTATCTCAGGCCTCGGGTGAGTAACTGCTGAATCTGTCCCATATCTTGGAGGAGTCCCATCACAGCTCGGCAGTTTGGGTGTGCGGGGTGGGAGAAGGAAGGCTGCTCAAGAGATGCATCTCTGGTACCAATCTGGGATGGCACGGCTATTTAGCACATGTGGTTGCATTACCTCAATCTTGATCCTTAGTGGTAGGAAAGTTTGGTCATTGACATTCTTCTGGTACTGCCTAAATCATGCAGAAAGGTGAGTGAGACTGATAAATGCCCACCTCAGTTTACAATCCTGACTGTTAGGGTCTCCAATGAGACCCTCAACAGTTTCATCACCTGCCTGTATTTTGCCACTCTAAAACGAGCGATCACAAAATAACAACAAAGATGTCTAGGTGAACAACAGGATATTACACTGGCTTTATAAAAACTGTACGAGAAATTCAGCTTTCAAAGCATGAGAAGGAACTTGTTTATCTTTGATGTCTAGGACCAGTCCAGCCAAAGAGAAATTTGCATTTTTCTACAAGTCTCACTTTTGTGCAGCGTGCCTGTGAGCATGACCTTCCCTCTTTATATGTGCAATCCTAACTATGAAGACGTTGAAGATGACTCTTATTCTTCCCATGTGCTGTTTTTTCTCCTCAGTATTGGGGGATCCCTCCCCATTGTGTTTGCCTATTTCTCTGAATTCCTATCTCGTGAGAAGAGGGGGGAACACCTGAGCTGGCTCTGCATGTTCTGGATGATTGGTGGCATTTTTGCTTCAGCAATGGCTTGGAGCATCATCCCACATTACGGTAAATGGTTTGTGCTTTTGACACCACATTCCTGCATCATGACACTACCCCAAAACCCCACACAGGTAGCATTAGTCAGTCGTTACATATCCCAGTATAAAAAACACCGAAAATAATAGATACCTGAAGTGCACACAAAAGGTCTGATAAATTGACTGCATGATTGATTGACTGATACTAAGGCTGTAAATAGGACTGATGAAGGCTGCTTTGCATCAAAAGCTTCAAATACCCCCCTTGAATTATACTTCCAGAGCCTGAGCTCTTAATCCAAATATCAGTGCATTCACGGAAAACTGGGCTGAGATTATATTGCAAAAATTGATCCAGTTATCAAAAATAAGTAACTTTAATCTGGGAATTACTGGGTGCTATGAATTATAGCGGTGAAGACAGTACACGTTCTTTTCCTTAGCCAAGTGTCACCACTCTCAGGGCTGTGTATTTGGTGACACATCTCCATAGCATGTGTGGCTGGAGTCACATCTGACGTCACCTCAATGGGTTCAGGAGTGGAATGAGTCCCCTGCCCAGAGCTGGAAGTGGGAGAGAAAAAGTAGATGGGTGTACTCTGAAATATATTTGTGCTATGAGGAGCAAAAATCTGCATGTCATATGGTATTCCTTGTAACGCATGTGTATATCTAGGAAAACATCAGAAGCAACTATTTACTGGAAAAGATTAACACCCTCAGTATTCAGTGACACCAGCTGTTTGCAAAATCCTGTTTGAGGAAAATAGGACAGGCTGCAAAGACCATGAAGAAAAACACTAATATTTACCTATCTATCAATCCATTTTTACTGTGTTTAAATTGCACTCCGTATAAAAAAATGTTCATGCTTCTGACTGATATGACAGAGCCTGTTGGAACAAATCGGCACATTTACTGTATAGTGGTGTCACATTGAAATAATTCTATTGTCTGCAACTACATTTGCTTTAAAAAACCCTTATGTATTTACATTACATTTATTTTTCAGATGACTTTCTGATGTTGTGTTTTTATCGCTTCTCTATCTGATTTCTCATGTTCCACCTACTATCTTGGAATGTCGTGAAATGAGTAGAACACCATGATTAACCCAGATGAGACCTCTGCAAAAATCATTGCTTGACAATTGCCTTATTATGTGACTAAAAATGCTTATTTAAAAATATGGAATTAAAAACATTCCTTCTGAGATTTGGGCCTAGGAAAAGGAAATGGAGCGATGTAAGAATGATGCTGTACTTTCTAGTCCTTAACAGGGGAATACGTGACCTGGTCAGACATCAGGAAAAAAGCAGGAGAGGGGGAATCACAAATGCAGGATTAGGATCTTGATTCTTTTAAGTTTGAATCCTAGCTCAGGTTTTGTAGGTCTGGAAAAAAAGATAAACTTTCTTTCCTAACTTGCTTCTATAAAATGTGAAATACATATGCCATGTACGAGATGGAAAGGAGCTCTCTCTAATGTGCCTTTCAGATCAGAGGACATTTAACCTTTGTAAGATTTCTATAACTCACTGAGCAGCAATAAATTATGGCCCTGATTTCTCTATCCTTTCACAGCCTTACTTGCCTACAGCTGCATAGAGCTATTCTTATCACCAGATGATTTCTAAAGTCAAAGATGAAAGGTTTTTAAAAAGCAGAGCCTGAGCAAGTATATTCCGTTTTCTGTAATGAACGTGAACTCACTTACTGTTATCATCTACTGAGCATGCTGTTGAGCCTCTAAGAGCCATCATTGCTAAGAATAGCAAATTTTCAACCTGTCCTTGTGTCATACAGAGCTGTAAAGTTCCGAGATGCTTTAGGAGAGAAAATCTCAGGATGCCTGGTCAGTATTTTGACTTTTTGGCTCTTGCTGTTTCCAGGCTGGGGGTTCAGTATGGGAACCAAGTACCACTTCCACAGCTGGAGAGTCTTTGTACTTGTCTGCGCTCTGCCCTGTATTGCCTCCCTGGTGGCACTGAAGTTCATGCCTGAAAGCCCACGTTTTTTGCTGGAGGTAAGATGATTCATCTGAACATTGTAGTCTGATATTAGCAGAGGATAGCTGGTCCCTAATGTGCCATTGTCTTTGTCCCATCAAACACACATAGCACAAGATCAGGGGCAAAACCACTCTTATATGTCTGTACTAGCTCCACAGATTACTTAAACCCCAAAGACTACAGACTGTGGGGTCAATCAACAGTGGTTAGTGTTTCACTGTCAAATGTGGTACAGAAAGAAGATGATGAGGGCTGGGAATTTTATAAGTCCAACAAACGCATTTTGAAAACATCTCACAGAGTCTGGGCATGTAACTACTGCATCCTGTTTGAAGAGCAAAGGACAGGGTGCGTTTTACTGAGTAAAATATATAAACCTCAGAAATCTTAAGCAAGTATTCTTTATTCCCATTTCACAGATGTGACATGTAGCAATACCTAGTTCAAGTTAACCCTGCAAGTCTTTAGCAGAGGTAGGATTAGAGTCCAGGCCTCCTCGTTAATCTCTTCTTTCATCTCGTTTTAAAGCTCTGTTCCTGACTCCTCTCCTGTCTCAGAGAGTTTTAGGGTAACTACTTTCTTCAGTACAGAGATGCTGCATTCTGTGAATACAAACCATGCTTTCAGCTCTTTGTTTTTAATTCAGCCAGTGCTGTATGTGTGCTTCTCCACTATATTGGACGTATAGTATTGGTTTCTTTCTATGCTTTGATAAATTACAGAGCTGGAAACTCCAAAATCTGTTTTCCTTTTCTTTGGTGTTTTCAGATAGGTAAACATGATGAAGCCTGGATGATCCTCAAGCAAGTTCATGACACCAACATGCGGGCCAAGGGTGAGCCAGAGAAGGTGTTTACGGTGAGTTTAACAAAGACATCAGCATGTAAAAAGAAAAGCTGGACACACGTTCACCATCCCTGGCGCAGCACAGCACCAGTTTATTCCTCCTTGGGACTCTTTCAATGTAACCTCCCGCAGCAATCAGAAAAAGGACTCTGAGATACATTTTGTGCATTTAAAGTTAGATGTCAACCTGTTCTTTTAAGAATTAGTCAATCCTGTGAATTGCAGTGAGTACTCTTCATTTCTGGTGTTACTCTACAGTGTCTAGTCTAGTGATTTTCCAATTACATACATGCTTAATTAGTATGCTTTAACAGACTAAAACCAAATAAGAGAGATATTAGTCCTATGGGAGATCTGAGTCACTCCTTTCTCCATTCTGGATTCTAATCAAACACTGATTAAACTTCATGTGCCTTCTAATGAGCTTCCCAAACTCCACCTGCCTCATACTCAATCTTTAATCTCTCCAAGGGAAAGTGGGATGAGTGGCTATTACTCATTAGTCTGCTGTTTGTTGTGAAAAAGGTCACACCAGTAGACTTCATTATTAGGCTTTCAGTACAGTTCCCCACAGTTGCCTCCTAGAGAAGCTGGTGTGTTACTGCCTAGAGAAGTGCTCTGTGTGGTGAGTGGGGAGCTGGCTGCCAGGATACGTCAAGAGGGTGGTGGGAAATAGCTCTTTTTCCATCTGGCAACCTGTCACAAGTGTGGTCCCCCAGTGATTGATATGGGGCACAATGCTGTTTAGGATCTTCGTAAGTGATGGGATGATGGGATCAAGTATACCTTGATGAAGTTTGCTGATGAGACCAAACTGAGTGGAGAAGTGGACACTTCAGAGGGAAAGCCACCCTGCAGGAAGACCTGGAAGAGGTGGCTAACAAGAACCTTATGAAATTTAATAAGGACAAGTGTAAGGTCTTGCACCTGGGAAAATATAATCCAGGAGTGCAGCACAGACTGGGATCTATCCATCTGAGGAGCAGCTCTGTGGAAAGGGACCTGGGAGTCCTTGTGGACAAGCAGCTCGGTATGAGTGGCCAGTGTGCTGCAGTGGCAAGGAAAGCCAACAGGATGCTGGGCTGCATCAATAAGAGCGTCACCATCAGAGATAAAGAAGTCATTATCCCACTCTACTCAGCATTTATCAGGCCATGCCTGGAATACTGTGTACAGTTTTGGTCCCTGCTACACAAAAAAGGATATGGACAGGCTGGAGGGGGTCCAGAGAAGGGCCACGAAGATGATCAAAAGACTAGGAAGCTGCCATATGATGAAAGGCTGAGAGAACTGAGTTTGTTCAGAGAAGGCTTAGGGGAGACCTTATCACCATGTTCCAGTATTTAAAGGGTGGCTACAAAGAAGATGGAGACTCCCTTTTTACAAAGGGTCATATGGAAAAGATGAAGGATAATGGGTACCACTTATTCCTGGGGACATTCTGACTGGACACAAGAGGAAAATTTTTCATAATGAGAATAATCAGCCACTGGAATAATCTTCCCAGGGAAGTGGTGGATTCCCCAACATCGCACAATTTTAAGATTCAGCTAGTGCTGGGCCATCTTGTCTAGACCGTGCTTTTGCCAAGAAAGGTTGGACCAGGTGATTATTGAGGTCCCTTCCAACCTGGTATTCTATGGTTCTATGAATAGTAAAATCAAGGAAAAGGTGTATGTTGGGGTTAGTTGAAAATTACTATAATTCAGTTGTAAACTGGTGAGCCAGACAAGGAATAGATCTTGATTTATGCTTTTAAAGATGAGAGGACGCATGTTCTTAAAGGATGGAGAAAAGAAGTTATGGTTGTGTGTAAAACGTGTTTTTGAACAAGGAGGAGAGCAAGGCTCTGTGTTCAGAAGGGTTGTCACATGGGTCCTCAGGAGTGATTCTTCAAGAAAATTAAAGTTTAATATCTGTGCATGACAATTGTGTGCAGGTTCAGGTAGGAACTTAATGAGCATGTGTTATTTTTAGGCTACCAACCATTTGACTAATGTGAACCTTGATAGCAAAGGCAAGAGAGACCGTCTCTTTAAATTCCTACCTGTTTTTTCTGTAATGCTGATATCTATATATATCTACTTATATCTATATCATCTCAAAGTAGGGCACTATGAGAGTCTGATCTGAGTAGGCGAACGAAGGAGCAGCTGTACAGCACCCGTTAGTGCTTATTCCTCCATCCAACAGTGTCATGGCTGCTACGGCATGAGCTGATCTCAGTATCGCACCTCGAGGTATGGCGCACCAGCTGAATCAAGATTTACTGACATCCGTTGGCATGGGTGGACGATCAGTGTGGCTGGTGTAGCACAAACTGTCAAATTTTGTGGTTTTCTGATAGGCCAGAAGTTGTGGTGAGTCAGCTGGTAGCAGGACAGTTCCCAGATCTGACATTTAAACGGTGCCAGCAAGAGAAACATGGAGACTCCACAGCTGAGCCAAGAGACTCATTCATACTCAGGAATTTATTCAGTAAATTTTCACCTCCTTCTCATGTTTACAAACAGATTTGGTTTCCTTGAATATGTCTTTTATTTAAATTACTGAGCAAATATTTTTTGGGACCCATTTTTAAGGTTTCTTGAGCAACCCAGTTCAGGTGCTCAGTGTTGAAAATTCAGAATGTTTTGGTGAAGTGAATTGATTGAGTGATGTGGGATCACTTGATGACAGGATGCATTTTCAGATGCAAAGATTCCCATCTACACATTCACTTGTCACAGAAGTTCTGCCAGTGCTACTTAAACAGTGCTGAATATTCCTGCCAGTTATCTCTAAAGAAAGAGATCCTGAAGGCACAGTTTTATGCGGATACTAGTGGCTAATCTTGGAGATAATTTTTACTATAATTTCCTAGTCCTAATTCCTAGTGGGAATCTAAGGGATAGAGAAGTAAGTTAGCACACAGGCACATTAGCCAATAAATGAAAGATTGAAGTGGATGTGATGCATTTAAAATATTTAATGGAAGAAGGGAGAGAGGGAGAAAAGATGGAGGGATGGATGAAAGGAAGGAGGGCAGCTTTCTTCTATAATAAAACTTCTTGTTATTATTAAATCAGTTAACTCAACTGTTGGTGATAACGTTCAAGGAAATGATAGTAAGGGATATCAGGTGGAAATATTGCTTAGAAGACAGTGGAATTTAAAATCAACCAAATACCAATTCTAGAAACTTCAGTCCAATTTTTTTTTTTTTCTTCTTTTCCCCCCCAGGTTTCCTATATCAAAACTCCAAAACAAGTAGATGAATTTATTGAAATCCAGAGCTCAACAGGCACCTGGTACCAGCGGTGGCTGGTCAGAATCACAACTACTTTCAAACAGGTAAAGAGAAGAAAAAAATTCCCACAGGGCCTTTTGAGCTTCAGGCTCTGGTGTCTCCTTGCTTCCGGTCATTGCATCTTGAAACCCTGACTCACACTCAAAAAAATCTGCTGGTGTTTGCAAAGGGCTGTAATTGCACTTGCTATGCAGATGTGTGCATCTGCAAACTGCCACACTGCCAGCCAGGCCCTGAAATGCCCCTGTGAGTGTCACAGTAGTCTGGTTGTGCAGAGCTTCCAGGACAAGCCACAGCCCCAAGCGCTTGACTTTTTTTCTGAGCAGATAAGTATTGATTCCTTCTCCCCAAAGCTTAAGTGAATTTATCACCCACAGTGGATTCAGAAGAGCATTTTCTCCTTGTTCCTGCTGACACTGAGTTTCCAACAATGTTATATTGTCTCTTCAGCTAATTTAACCTTTCACACATGCTATGCTGCTTACCTATGCCCATGCAGGACGCTGTGGAAAATCTTACTAGAGATTCTAGTCTAGGAGGATGAGCTTAAAGTAAAAGAGAGGTTTTCTGAAGTAATAGCAATGCAGGTGCTATACAGTTACTATATTTATGTGGCAAGTTAAGAGCATGAGGAGTCAAATCCCCTCATGTTCTTGGCAGTATTTTCTGCAATGGGTCAAGAATAGCAGTTCTTGGTCTGCTATGCTTGGTTTCATCCTTACCTGAGTTCATTTTATGCTTCCTAATGTGCCAGCTGTGTTTGGGGTTTTGCTCTTCAGTGAGCTTTGGAGCTCAGTTTGAAAGCATCCCTGAGATCATACATATATTTGAAAAGACAGAATTGTCAGAGGGTCTGAGAACAGGCCCATATCCACATGTAGTGATATAACCTAAGAGAAACATTGCATTATCCAGCCCAGTCCTAGTCATACACTCCAGCTCCTTACAGAGGGTTCAGATCAAATACCCTGGTACATAGCTGAATAAGTGATCTTTTTGTAAGCCATTTATCATGATAAATATAATTTTGAACAAACACTGAATATAAGCCACACATTTGACCTTCCCTCAGAAAGCCCTTTCTGCTGACATTAGATTTATGATGCACTCAGAAATTAACCTGCCAAGTATCTGCTGGGGTGTCCTTGCAGCTAATTCATTCTTGTGGATTTGTAGGTCTGGGACAACGTGCTATATTGTTTAACAGCCCAGTACAGGATGAACACACTGATGCTGGCTGTGGTTTGGTTTACAATGGCCTTAAGGTAAGGTACTTCTTTAGCTTTTTCAAGAAACTAGAGAGCCCTCAGAGAATGAATAATTATCTACACATTTAAATAAACTATTAAAAAATTAGTCCTGGTCTTATTTTAAAGAGTCTTTGTTTACTAAGATTTGCCCTCCTATGAACTGTTGGTCAATCTGATTGCTTATATGAGAGTACAAGGTGCCTTGAGCAAATCAGCACTTGAGAAGTGGTCAGTAGAGCAATAGTATATCAACTTTCTCACCTCTAGATCTTTCATTTGATCTTGTCCACACAGAAAAAGACACATCCCTACCTAATTCTCAGCTGTTCCTTTGTCTAGATCAAAACTATTCAGGTGAGCCTAATCTAAAATACAGGTACATTTTGTCTAACTCCCACTTACACATCACACTTGCAGAAATCTGCCTTCTGGGGAAGTTTCCAAATTTATTACTGCTCTGCTGGTCTCTTGGGCAGCAAGGCTAGCACATTGCTGTATTTCCCAGCCAAGAACTCACACTTAAGCAAATTGTCCTGCTTTAAGTGAATGAGAATTGATCAACATGCTTCTGAGATCAGCTGAGTGTAAGGAGACACTTTACTTGGCTCTATGTCAGAGCTGAGCAAGAATTTGTGTTAGAAATGCATTTGCATTAGGAGTTTAACATGTTTACAAGTTATGAAGTAGATTATTGGAAAAGCACTGCAAAGTTTGCAGTGTCGGTATCTTATATCCCTAATGTATATCTCCCATCCTGCTATAGTTACTATGGCCTTATTGTCTGGTTCCCTGATATGATCCGGTATCTCCAAGAAGAGGCATATGAATCCCGAGTGAAGATCTTTGATGAGGAAGAAGTGTCACACTTTACTTTTAATTTCACCCTGGAAAACCAGATCCATAGAAATGGGGAATACAGACATGACAAGTAAGTGAACAGAATTTGTTTCAATGCATGTGAACTGAAATACATTTCCAGAAAGCTTTTTTTTTTTTTTCCCACCAACTTGAAAAATCTCTTGTTCTTTTGGACACACAATCTGTATCTCTCAAATCCTAAAGGCAGTTTTCCACAGACCAAATATCCTTTTCATACTGTTTTTCACACTCCCTGACTCAGACACTGGCATCTCCAGACCCAAGGGAATGCCTGTGAGGATTCTTGCTTCCAGCAGTCCCTTTCTGGGAGCAGGGCAGTGGGTGCCCACCTGGCTGTGCTGGGCAGATCTGGATGCAGAGGTGACTTCTCTTTCTTTAGCATACACTGACATCTGCTGGTCTTGGGCAGCAGACACCATCACTTGTAATGAAACTGCTCTGCTGCTGCATTTCCAAAGTAAAAAAACCTTTTTTCTCTTGAAGTCCTCTATATGACTTATTCCTGTCTCCATCCTGCAGCCCATTAGCGCAAGCTGTGTCGTGGCCAGTTGTACTGGTGTACTTCTCCCACTCTGGCCAGCATCTTTCCATAGAATGAGTGTGTCACCTTCTCTTTTAGTGCCTCGAAGTCTGGACCTCTGGACCTAGTGGTTTTTCTTCTTCATCCAGCCTGGACCCCAACCACTCTATGCTCCACAGCAATATAAATCCTAGTGATTTGTAGCAGGCCATTATTTATTTCCTAAATCCCAAGAAAACGGGTGGAAAAATACCCTTATGTAAATTTTGTGGAGCTCCCTTTGCCCCAGATATACTAGACAGTGTTGCTCCAGTTGCCTTGCGCTATGTGGGGCAGTCCCACTGGATGTTCAGCATTACATAAAACACTCATTGTTTGAATCTTCATGGGTGTAGCCATACCTGATTGCCCAGCCAGGTTGTTTCTCTCCCCACAGAAACTATTTGTCTCCATTTCTTTGGCATATATCTGATAGACAATGGTGGGGGATCCCACCATGTGTCCCCATGTCCTCCTGGAGACTTTCCCTGCAGCAAGGACCTGTGCTTGATGGTGCAGACCTAGCCCCATAATTCCTAATTTGCTGCCTATCAAGCAGCCAAACAAAGTCTAGTGAGAAGTGGATGGTGGTCAAATTTAGGGATTGTGGACCCTTATGCCTAGAGGAGATGCTCTGTTTTCACTAACTTCATTGAGAACTGAGGATGCTCAGCACCTTATGGGATGAAGACATAAAACTGTGATGTACATCACTATTCTCTTGCCTCAGTCCTCTCAAGTTTAAAAACTCAAAACCTGATGAAGCTACATTCCAGTAATGCCCAGAGCATATATCAATATTACTTATAGCTGTGTTTTCCCTCCAGACCTTGGCTGTGAGTTAAAACTCCATCGAATGCCAGTCCATTGCTATACGACTCTTTTAAAGATGGATGTTAAGAAAGCAAACTGCAGGAAAAGGGCTTCTAACAGCCTTTGGGAGTAAATATATCACAGGCTATTACTGAGCAAATGCAGATCAGCTTAAGTTTTGCTGTAACCTAAGAGACCTTCTACATGGAGCAAAAGACTTGAATAGTCTTCTTGTGGTATTTTGCACATTAATAATATCTGTTAGTAGCTTCAATTAAGAAGCCCTGCAGTGCTCATTTAATGGTGTAAACAGCCATCATGCTACACTGTGTTGTAAGTGCTCAATTCAATTAAGTTTCTGGGTATATGTTAGAAGGCTTTTTATTTGGTGACAGTAGTGGCGTCCTTAACTAGAGTAATAATGCTTGCTCTTAATAGCTCCTTACATCTTCCAAACATGTCTGTGCATTAACTAATACATCTTCTCAGTGTCCCTGCAACATTTCACAAGTAAATCAATATTGTGTCATCCTTCAGGCAGGCAGGTCAGACATGTTAAGCTTCCCATCAGAGGAGAAATCAATCACCTGGCACAGCTGATTATTTTACTGTAATCTGTTTTCATTACATGATAAGCAATAGTCCTCGACAGAGATGGTTACAAACAGAACTTTGATAATTTCCTGATTCTCTCTAGAAACCTTACTGCATTTTTGCTTTTAAAAATCACATTGTGTTTAAACAACTGTCAGGAGCTTTTCACCAACTGACTCAATGGGCTCCCAATGATGTCTGATTTTATTGATGCTGGAGGAAGGGGCAGAGCAAGGAAGACAGCAAGGTCAACTCCCAAAGAAAATGCCATGCACTGAGTGACATTATATCTTCTTCAGATGGACTAGTACTGAACGTGAGAGGATTTGTGTCCAGTCAGCCTTAGAAGCACATTTTCTTACATGTGACTATTCTGAGGAATAGAAAAACTGCCAAAAATCCTAAAAGGTCCATCTCTCTTTAAAAAAACCCCTCTTCAAACCTTTGTCTCCTACTAAAACACAAAATATGTAAGCATGGAGTTGGAAGGACAGTTATGCATTCAAGGAACACCTTTTCTGTAAATGACCCTAGAAATTGTCATTAGTGCTCTGTCTCTTGAAACGGCCATTACATGCTATATAGTGCAGAAAATACCTTAAAGCACAGAGTGAAGTTCTGTTTCCTGACCCACAGGTTTATTGGCATGAAATTCAAGGAAGTGAGATTTGAGGATTCATTATTTGAGGAATGCTACTTTGAAGATGTGACATCTAGCGAGACCTTCTTCGAAAACTGCACCATCATCTCTACTGTCTTTTATAATACCGGTAATAGGATTCCTGCTGTGGTTTCATCTTTGTAATTTGAAACTATTTTATCAGATTCTGGGAGAAAGGATGATAGGGATCCCGGTGTTTGTGTGTGTGCTAGGTATTGAGGGAGTTGATGGAAAAAAAAAGGGTGACACATTTGGAAGGAGTCTTCAGGTTGCTTCATCAGTGTTTTTAACCACGTGGCTTCTGATGTCATTGGCTGCTGGGCAGGAAATGAGAAAAGTCTGCACTCAAACCTTCGCAGGTTAAAGTAATGGCAAAATGCTTAACACTTTAACAGCTCAATTCAACAAATTTATCTAAAAATATAATTTTAACCAACCTGTCATTGGTGATTGTATGATTGCAAGCAGTAAAATATTAATTAATTTATCCTGAAAAAGCTTTTCACTTCTACTCTAATAGATAACAAACCATAATGCCATGAAAGCAAGATCCTGCATTGCCCTGTCCCTGTGGCATGGGGATACTGGTCCAGGTGACTCCACAAATAAAAGGGGTGTATGAGATTCCACCTCCCCAGGTGCCAAGCACACATCTAGAGTTTGCCACTAGAAAAAAAAAACCTCCCTGGCCATTTCCGTTTGACGAGGAGCTCCTCTCAGATCTTTGATTTGGTTTTGATCCTGATGCCCATTGCTGCTTTATGAAGGGAGATCAGACAAACAGGATCAAGATTTTGTCTCTTTCCCTCACAGATCTCTATGAACACAAGTTCATCAACTGTAGGCTCATAAACAACACGTTTCTGAAGGAAAAGGAAGGCTGCCACCTGGACTTCGAGGAGGACAATGACTTCTTGATCTACCTGGTCAGCTTCCTGGGCAGCCTGTCTGTGCTGCCGGGCAACATCATCTCTGCATTACTCATGGATAAAATAGGGAGGATAAAGATGATCGGTGAGTGGCGATGATGGGCGCCTGGTGCAGATTGTGGGAGGGAGCATGACTCTGCAAAGAGCCAAGGTCAGTGTGATGGTGTCACTGCATCTGCACACACCAATGCAAGCTGAGCTGGCTCAGGTGGAGGTGAGTCATTCCCATATCAAATGGAGCAGAAGGGTGAAAAGTCTCGAGGGTGAGACAAGTGATCTGTTCCATGGCAGTAGGCAAGTTACTTGCTCCCCACCTTCCCACCCTGCTTTTCTGTGTGTCTGTGACATCCTCCTTTTTTATTTTGACTTTTGTGTCAAAGCCTGTATGTTTAGCCAGTGCTCAGTACAACAGGGTCGGAGCTGAAGCAGGACCTCTTGGTGCTGTTGAGTTGATACTGATGTCCATATCACTCTGCATAAATAAATAAACAGTTTGCTTGTGGCAATGAATATTCACAAAGATTATTTGATGTGGCTGCCTGACAGCCCAGAGTTCCCTCTTTTGGTTTTCTGATTTTCAAATGATTTTACAGACAGCTTCAGAGAGCATATGGTAGAATAACTGACCATATCACAGCCAAGCAAGATGTCACCCTTTAGTGTCATGGGAATAAGTTATCAGCTTATCAGCTTTACAATTACTTTGGGAATTTCTGCTGGTGCTTCCTCCAGGGTTCAGACCTTGGTCTCCAGGTACTGGGAGAATCATGCCTCAAGGGACAGCCAAGTGAGTTTAACAAAATCAGGGATGTAGCTCAGGGGTAAGGGATGACTCCAGTCTCTTGAGCTCCCCTCTCTTTTCTGAGAACAGAAGGAAGTTTAGTTAGCTTAACCTTCACTGTCAGACAGGTGAAGGTAAGCAGGATGACCCCACCAGTGTGTCAGGAATGTACACTGGGGGAGGGGGGAAATAACTGTTCATGTAGTGAATTTGGAAAAGATCCACATAAATCAGAGGGTCTTCAGGAAGTAAATTAAATAAAACTGAATGAGAATCAGATTGTCCACCCTGAAAACATGTCAACATTTCAACATTTTTGCCTGGAATTGAGGTGACAGCTGGAATTCTAAATGCTTATTTCTTCTGCAGAATGAAAAGTACAGGACAAAAATTAGTGATGACATGCTGAAACGTTTCACTGTGGAATTTTCAGTTGAAACAGCCTTCTGGCATCCCACCCATATCACTCTGTTGAACATATTATTTCTGGTCAGCTTAACACAAAAACTGAATTTTGCTTTTGCATTATGTGCCTCACTGGGACTTCAGTTGTTTCATTATATTCTGCTAAACCTTCTCTTGTGCCAAATGTCAGATCTCTTGGTACGCACAAGGTGACCCTAATGCTGCACTGTACCTCTTCAGCAGAGGGAATATCCACACCACACCGTGGGGGAGGTATTTTGGCCAGATATCATGGAAGGGAAGTGGATATGAAGCCCTGCACAGCAGCTTTTCACAGGCAGGGCACTGCAGTGGCAAAATAAAACACAATGTCCAAAATGAAGCATTTTAGTTCCAGCTCAGCATCCAAATTATTTCAGATGGTGTCAAATTGATTAAAAAAAAACAAACCAAAACAAACAAAAAAAAAAAAAAAAAAAAAAAAAACAAACAAAGAAGCAAAAAAAAATGTTTGGTTTCTGGTAGTAAATGGAGGTATTTCAGCACCAGCAGAAAGTTCCAGTGAAAGATACGTTGATGTTGCAAAAATTACATCTTTCAGGTGAAAACTCCCAATGGGGTAAAAGGCAGTGATGTAGCCATTAATATTTCTGAATCTGAACTGTGCCTAACTGAGCATGAATGCTCCCACTTTCTCCCTCGGTGGTGTTCATGAAATTATGGCTCCTGTGCAAATGTGCCATGAAATCTAATGATGTCCTTATAATTAAGGACCTCAAGTGTTTCATACAACTGACTGTAAATTATCTTAATTGAGACTATAAATGTGTCAAGTGATTTCAATATGATATGAAATGCACCAGCTCTTCACTCAAAACTCAAGCTGGAAAACCTTCACAATGATTCTTCTTCCTCATTGACTTTCATGTTTACTTGCCTCTGCTCTTCCTGGGTCCATCTGGAAGTCTGAGATGCTGGAAACCTGCCTGGAAAAGCCTATCTTCAGAGTCTCTGTAGAGCAGGACTATCAGCAAGATCAGATGGTCATTGAGAACATTTTCAGGCTGTTTTCCAGCATCAGGATATGACAGATATGCAGCATCCAGGTATTTTTGGATTGTTGCAGATTTAATTTGTTTTGGGGTGAAACATCGTCACTTGAAAGCCATCTTTATCAACAAATGTGTTTGCTCAATTGTGGACAGGGGAATCTGATGCCAACAATTTTCTCTTGGTTTCCCCCCCGTAGGTGGCTCAATGTTGATCTCGGCAGTGTGCTGCTTCTTTCTCTTTTTTGGCAACAGCGAGTCGGCAATGATTGGCTGGCAGTGCCTCTTCTGCGGGGCCAGCATTGCCGCCTGGAATGCCCTGGATGTGATCACTGTGGAGCTCTACCCTACTGACAAAAGGTTCTCTGACTTTGGCCTCCCAGTTCTTGATGGAAAAAGTCAATGTTCACTCTAGATACCTGCAGATGGGAGAGGTGTATTTGTTTTGTTTTCACCAGTCCTTAAGGGTTGGGTAGATCTGCAGCTATATTGGATCAACACAGACGTTTGCAAACATAATTCTGTGTGCATGGTGTCTTGTATGTAGGGAGTTGTGTGGGAGGTATGGAAATTCCAGGAAGATAAATATGGAGTCTGTCATTTCCATGGATGTGCATGGAGGTCTGGACTTTCAGACTGTGTCCCTCAGCCTCTTGTCATAGCTCATCACAGTAACAGCCTTCCCCTCCTCAACCTGGAGACAGCCATGTGCACAGAATGGTTTGGGAGATAAGACAGCGCAGGCAACTTTAGGAGAATGATGAAATCTTTCCTTGCAACATCATTATAAGCTTTATTTTTGCCTATTTCAGGTTGTTGAGGGAAGCCAGGAGGGAAGGACTGTCTTTTTGAAGGCAGTATGCTTTTAGCTGGTGGGTGAAGCAGACTTTGGAGGAGAGCCCAGGTTGTTTCTTTGGTGACAACCCACTCCAGCCAGTGCTTGGAACAGCTTTGACATGTTCTAGAGCAGATTGTGTCCTGCTGTCATTGGGGAGGGCAAAGGCTGTCACAGTGGGTCACTCTAGGGCTAGGGAGAAGCTGAAATAAAAAGGAGAAATGAGTACACACGGACATTCTCCTCATTCACACAGACATGCAAAGCACCATCTATCTATTTATCTAGTTATCTAGTTATCTAGTTATCTATCTATTTACTTATTTATTTATTTACTTATTCTGCCTGACTGTACTTGCTAGAAGCGTAGCCTGGGCAGCATAAGAGCATTCACAAAATTACCCATCTAGATCTTCTGTAAGTATGTCAAGAACCTCCCTCCTAACCATTGTTTTCTGCTTTTCTTCCCTGCAGGGCAACAGCCTTTGGCATCCTCAACGGGCTTTGCAAGTTTGGGGCCATCCTGGGGAACTCAATCTTTGCCTCTTTTGTAGGTATAACCAAGGTGGTTCCCATCCTTCTGGCTTCCTCTGCTCTGGTTGGGGGTGGCCTGCTCGCTTTACGCCTGCCAGAGACTCGAGAACAGGTCCTGATGTGAGCAACTGAGGCCAGGGGGTCAGGGGGGCAGATGTCAAAGAAGAAGAAAAAAGAGACATGTTTGAAAAATCAAAAATTCCATTTCTATACTATTCTGTTGATACCTCAAAGAGAGAGGACAGAGGGAAAGGAGAGCTCAAAGGGATAAAAATGAAACCCTTAGTTTCTGACCCTTTTACAGCCATGACTGGTGCATGCAGCTACCACACACCCCTTGCAAGAGCTTGGGTTTAACCTTGCCTACACTGGGAGTCTACCCTTTCTCGCTCCATCCCAGTGTAATGACACAGGACGCGAACAGAGGCTTTGTGCATGCGTGTGCCTGCATGGATGTGAGCGTGTCTGACAGGAGGACAGATCCTGACCCCCTTAGGCCTTTGCCGAGCTGTGAGATGCTCCCTGCCTTGCCCAGCGCTCCTTGGCAATTCGTATCAGCTGTGCTCAGACACGAGGGCCACCTGGAGGGGAGGCAGGTAACGAGCCTACTGTAGGTGAGCTCCAGCAGTAGGGACAAGAGCTACAAATGTGACTAGTGACCCTAGCTGTTTTGATTTTGGGGTTACCACCAGAACTGCCTGCAAGAGTGAGAAAGTCCTGATTTCTGGAGCATATGAGGGTAGGTGATCGGCGCTCTCAGAAGAATCGGGGTCTCAAAGCCCTTTACTGTCTTTACATGGGCATAGAGAATCACTAGGCACCTTCTTGGTCTGGGAGAGAAATATATACATAATTTTATATATATATATGTATTTACACATACTTGCAAACGTACATACACACATTGAAGTGATTCGCTATTGAAATTTGTAATTTTGAATTTCTGCACCCTTAAGAAGGTCTTAAGAGAGACACTATAAAACTAATCCCACTAATTCAAGATTATCTGGAGTCATGACCAACTTAGTGGCACTACATTCTTTATAACCAGACACAAAATATTTAATTGTATTGTTGGCTGGGAATATATATTTCTATGATGATTAAGATTTCTTTTCCTACAACTTTCACAGAGGAGAAATTGATACGGTGTTGGAGCATTCCACAAACCAAATGTGTACATATTATCCAGTGTAAATAGGGGAATTTTTGTCTAATACTTAGAGTATGGTAACTGTGAATTTACCAGCATTCTAGCCATATTATTTAAAGAATATGATGCTTGGTTTTCTAATATACTTGGGTCTCATTGAAACACTGTAAGCACAGTTACTTAAAGCCATTCAACTCGTTATACAGGGGATGCACGCAGCAAGCTTTCGCTGTACAGAACGTTAAATTCTCCATTAAGTAGCACAGTTAAGTTTGATATCCTGTAAAGACCATTTTATCATATGGCTTAAGTCCTGTTGCATCTAGAAGCAAAGTGAGTTGTGTAATTTTGAATATATTTTCTCGGGAAGCAAGAATGAAATGTATACTGTTAAATTAACACACCAGTGCTCACAATTGACTAGATAACACTAATTAGACCCTTTCAACAAGCTCAGTAATAGACCAGTGCTGATCAGAAACTGTCACATAATTCAGGGAACTTGTCTCACCGGGATATTTTGTGACAAAAAATTCTTTTGTACTTTGGATCCTTTTTTTTTTCGCTTTTTAAGAAAAACATGCAGGGCTGGGCTGAAGTCCAACAGGACTGAAGTCTAATACCTCTGCCTTCACCTGCACAGAGACAGTCAAATACACTAAGAGCTGACACCGGGGCCAGCCCCACGCGACTGTGGGAGTCAGTGTTGGTGCTGCTGCAGAGGACAGATGAAAGACAGAGTGTGGTTAGATCGCAAAAAGCAAATCCTTGCTGATGAGGCAAAACACTCTAATAGGCATCATCTTTATCATTGTGTCAATCAGGGATAAACATGGAACAGCTAGGCTACAATAGGCTCTTTGGGGTTTTTAAGATTTATTCTGAGGTTTATGAAATTGATAAAATCACAAGCTGTTGTAATAACTGAGCTTATTATGCCTCATTTCTTCATTTTATAGGTAGCTTAGGGCTTTTTTTTTGATTTGTCTTCAAAACAGCAAGGTTCCTTCTCTAAGGTATGAGTGAATGTAATTATGTCCTTTGGCAGTGGTTCACAGCTTCTGTTGAGAATCACAGCCCAGAATGTGTTTCTTTTTTCCCTGAGAATGTCTGGTCCCTTTGCATGGTGAGAAGCCGCTAAATATGTATTTCAACACAAAAGATCACCATGATCTTTATGTTTCATCCATTTTGCTGGTCTGTGCATGCCAATTACTACATTGCAGTTGAGGGAAAAAAAAAACTGTTTCAATTTCTGGACTACTCTCTTGTGCTGCTTTGTGGAGCCAGAACTTATCTCTAATTTATGAAGCACTTTTATTTACCTGTCATTCAGTGGTCTAACAGAAAACCTGACTATTTGTGTTCTCCATTGGCAATGTACAAAGACACTAATGACATAATTTATTTTGCAAAACTACTCTATTAATTTTCAGAGACAGAAGAAATTGATGTCTTCAGGAGATAGAAAAGTCAAGGTAATATTAGGAAATATTATCCAATTTTAGAAACTTTTCTTCTTTACAGAATGGTTCTTTCACAGGCTGCTAAACCTCACCTTCAAGAGATTAGCTGGGACAAGATACAGAGCAATAGGATCTTCTTGTCACAGTCACCCAGACTGCCCATGTGACTGTAAAAACTCTTTGCATCCCTAAAATGCATGGTTCAGTCACCTGAGGTCTAGGAGACGATGCATGTGTGTCGTGACAAGGCTCCTATCCCTGACTTGACCAGGGGGTTCATGACCTAATAGGACAGGGCAAACACTCACTGCAGCTGGTATACAGGGGCCTGGGAAAAGACCACAATGAGCAGAGAAGACAGAAAAGAAAAGCTAAGGGGAAACTGTATCGCCTAGCCTTAGACACCTACCAGCTAGATGTCTGGATCTGAACTCATCGCCCTGGGTTCCCATTATTCTCAGTTGAAGGGCACAGGCAATATATGTGACCACACCCAGGCACTTGCCCTGGATAGCCCTGCTCCTCTTCTTCCCTAACAGAGAAATCCAGGGTAATGGCTTCAGCTCAGGCATTTGCCTTTGTGACACCTGGGCTGATGTCTCCCATCCAACTTCAGTGTGAGCAAGGCTTAGTCAATACTCCTGATGTGTTTGTTTATTGTCCTTGTCATGGTGTAAAACAGCGTAGGCTTCACACTGCTGCTCTCCAGAGCAAAATGGCTGATGGGTGCAGTTCCACCAACCCCCCTCAGCACTGGCTGTGTTTTGGTTTGGGTCGCAGTTTCAAGCCATGGGCTACCTGCTAGGATGAGCCCAAGCCACAGAGCCTTGGAGCACCATGCAGGGGGAGATTTCTCATCAGGCACCTCCTCTGATGGCTCAGCTTTATTTCTACTGTAAAAGCAGCATTACACCTGCAGTGCAAGGGCCAGCATGCCTCTTCCAGTGGTTCCCCGGCTTACATTTGCTGCATTGAAGTCTCCTTGTCTTGAGTTTTGATACACTGGATCATCCACAGAGAAGAGGAGAACTGCTGACCACCAGTCCACTGATGATCCCTGCAGAGCACTATTTCCTTGGATTCATGAACTTTACTGCAACAGGGGCACAGAGGACCAAGACAGGGGACTTGCCTTAAATCCCAAAGACCTCTTCTAGGGGGCAGCTGGACCTCTTCATGCATGCGTGGCACACCAGTCCAGCCACTTAGCCAGGGACTTTGTGGCATGGGAATGGTGGTTCTAGGGAACTGGCCTGCTGTGACTTACTGTCTTTGTCTGGACAACAATATAATGCGGGTCACAGGAGGAGTTCATTACTGAGCTTCTGAGAATGCAGAAACAGACATTCAGAGCACTTTTGATTATAATTACAACAGACGAGTGGTATTATGAGAAGAGTTCTGCCTCCTTATATTCCCTGTTGATTTAACTAGCTGTCGTACGCCTATTCTTTTACTTCAGTTGTTCAGGACAGCTCCTGTCACTACCTTTGGCTTTGCTACATCCTGCTGTGGTGGCTGCAGCTTGGGGCTGGATGGAACAATCCCTTCCTTGCCCATATGATACTCATCCCCTTGAAATGCTATGTGACTTACAAACAGTGGTGGATGGATCTTTTGGACTAAGGAAAGGGTCACTTTTGGAAAAACTATATCCAGAGCCAGATGTTCCCCACACAGTGGAGCAGGCAGCCCAATGTCCTTCAGTGATGCTGAGAGGTCCACTAAGGGATATTCCCTGAGCCTGGGAGCAGTGCAGCTCCAAGGGTGGGTTTACACAGGGGTGCAGAACGAGGTTGCATGGAGTTGAGCTTTCTGCAGATGTGCAGGTCTCTTCCACATCCTGCTTTGAGACCTCCAACAACAGAGTATACTCTGATACTAATAAGGAGGCCCTTATGTTCCCTGCTTATGTCCTTTGACTTTCCAAAGGACACACAAAACTGGACAGGATATTTTTAGTTTTATGTAGATTTGAGCCCCATATATTATATTTTCATGAAGTTTCTCCCTCAGTTTCTCACCCTTGTATTAGCAAATGCTGCTTTTAGGAAGAATCAAGCCTGAGAATTGTGAAGGAAACAAAATGAAAGAAATTTCTTTGCTATATGTGATGCTAGTGCTGTATAAATGTACACACACTGAAAGTTCCACTGTAAATAACACCCAGTGTTGTGCATTTAATGAAATGTTTCATTTAGATGTTCTGTCAACTCTGTGTGTAATAGTCAATTCCAGTCCCTTGGTTCCTTTTCTTCATTTGAAACCTTTCTTCTTTTATTTTTTTTTATTTGATCTATGGTTGTCACTGAAAATTACAGCTGTTCCAATGGACTTTGTTTTTGTTCCTTCTGTCACATTAAAAAGCTGGAAGAAAAAGAATGACTCTTGTAGTGTTTGTGTTTAATGTGCACATTGAGTCTTTTTACAAGGGCTGCTGTGGGTGACTTTGTACCCTGACAATGTGAGAACTTCCTCTGATGTTTGCTACTTGTATGTCCCTGCTTTCTCAAACAACCCCACCTAGATTAAGACTCCCTCCTATCACACTTTTTTCACACTGTGTACTTCCAAACACATTATATGTGAAAAAACGTTATCCTGAAATGTCTTCTGGTGGAGGAAGCATGAAATATTTTTAAGTGCCATGCGAAACTGGAAAGCTAAACTCTGCTCTGTAGCAAGAATATGTCCAAAAAGAAAGCACTGCTTCTTGTAGCTTGACACACCATTTGATGATAGCATACACTCTTATGGATGTTTTTCTAAGGATGTATGATCTGTTTATTATTATTATTTTCAACTCTTTGTAAACATCTAACTACCCACCCCATGCTTTCAGAGTAGAATGATAGAGACCTGCACAACATCAACTGCGTGGGAAAAGAGCAGTGGAGACTGGTTGGCAGACTATGGGGTTTATGTATTAATTTCAAGTTCTTGTATACCATAAAATGAAGCAACTTCTCTTCCCCTCAAGCCCCCTGAAGGTCATCAGGGTTTTGATTATGAGTCAGCTCTGGCTTGTTGATAAGACATTCAGGTGCTGAAAGGTTGTCAGGTCAATCCGCATTTAGTCCTCTCTTCACATACGCTACATATGCAACATGCTAAAGCTAATATTCAAGTGAGAGATAAAGAGCCAGAAGATATCGGAAACGTAATAAAGGAACCATGAAGGTACCTCTGCCATCAGGAGACTAAATCAGGCATCTTTCATCAGCTCAGGTTCAGCCAGGTGGCATAGGACCCGTCTGAGCTGGGGTCCTGCTGGGTGAAGCAAAGCCAGCAGCAGTGTGGGGGAGCGGGTAAGGACTGGTCTCAGGTGGGAGCTGCCAGCTGTGAATTTTGCAATGCTCGTATCTGACTGCAGACTACAGAGCTGTGGAGTCAACAGTCCCTAAACCTCCTCTGTGCATCCCGCCTTTATGTAGGAAACCGTGTATTAGCAAACACAGTCAAAAAGCATTTTCTAAGAAGCGAGCTTTTAAATAAAGGTCAGAGATTTGCACTAAAAGCCTTGGAGGTGCTTTAAAGTGGTCCTTACTCCAGACTACTTGAGATTCTGCATAAGGCTGAAATCTTAGTAAGCTGGAAAATCTTATATTTGAATGTTCAGAAAAGGTTGCTAATAAAACCTGTGCATAAAAAAACCCTGACTAATTTTAAAGTAGCACACAGGGATTTTAAGAGCAGGATTATGTGACATGGCTGCCTGAACTAGCATAGGATGGACTGAATGATAAGAAAACCTTTGCAAATCTGGGTTCCTATTTTTCCATATTGGTGATTCTACCTTGACCATCTCATGTTTCTCACTATGTGGAGTTTCTGGCATAGATTCTTGTAGCCTCCAATAAATGACCCAAATTCCCTGGATGTGCAGGTTCACCCAAGCTGTCACAGGAGGTCAGCTGGTGGAGGGAGAAGGCTGGAAATGATGACATTCCCAACAGCCACCAAATCCAGTAATATGTCTGAGTGATGCTTCAGACTTGTGAAGTGACTTCATATTGGGAATATGATTTGAGTTAGATTATGGTAAACTGGCCCATCATTTTATCAGTGCTCCTATATCTCAGACCCTGGGTTTGGGACTCTGAAAGTAGAGATCAAAGTTGGCAGTTTGAGTCCACATTTGTTGAAAAGTCAGGGGAAGATCAACAACTTGGCCAGGCCCTTGATGCTGGGAAATGGAGCCTGTTTTTCCAGCTTCTGGCAGAAATTGCTGGAGACTGAGCAACCTTCCAATGCACAGACATTGATTTGTGACTGATGTCAGTGTGTGTTTCTCAGACCAGATTCTTGTAAGCAGTTGTATATAAAACAGAAAGAACTACTCAAATAAGTTCCCACAGATATCATTTTTTTTTTACTGTTCTCTGTGGGCAAGGAGAATTAACTGAAGAACTTGCAGCCACCTTGGCCCACAGTAATGCAAACAGTTAGGGCTTATTTATAATTTTTATCTTTTGAAGTGTACACAGTTATTACTACACTAACCCAAGAAGCACTATTTGAAAAAATTACAAGTGAGATATAAATTTATTGCTCAGCACTTGTTTAACCTATAAAAATATGTGCATATCTATACCTACATATCTATATATGTACAGATATGCATTTATATGTAAAACTAAATGATTACACCTGACCTTACTGATTCTGCCTCAGCTTTTTCGGGCCCCAAATTAGTCTCACCAATACCAGGAGATGGCAGCAGTTGCACACAGCATGGGCTGCTGGTCCCTGCTCAGCATCAACTGCAGCTCTGCAGGAGGCTGCACCCAGGACCCACACCATGCACAGACAGGATTCTTCACCAGATCCATCAGGTACAGGTCACAGCGGTCTGATCTCCAGGAAAGTCAGGGAAAAGAGAGGAAAAGAGCAGTGATTAGACAGTTTAGATAAGAAAGAGCCCTGTCTAGTGCCCAAACTTTTGAAATGGGAGTTGTGCATACCTGAAGCAAACCAAATGTAATTGTTGGGGCAAAAATATGAGAGATTCTACTTCAGTAGACTAGTGCAATGGTTTTCAAGCTTTCTTAGCCTGCATCTGTTAAGTGTTTCCCAAGGGTGATGTAAATCCATTGTAAAAACATGATGAGACTCCAGTTAGAAGAGAAAAGCTCTGGGCTGGCCAGTGCCTTACCCACAGACATAGGAACAGATCAGCACAAGCAGTGACTCCTGGGGCAGCCTGCTGAGATGCTGCAATGAATTGGTTTTGCAAACAAAGTCTCCAGCCCGGCTAATCCTGGCAAGATGTCACCTCATGGGTTCCTCCTCCAGTCTAAAGCACGGGCAGAACCTTCTGCAGTTAAAATCTGAGCTCTTAAAATGAGAAGTGTCTCTCCAGAGTAATTCTGTGAACCCCTCCTGCATCCCTGCATCATGACTGTAAGACAAGGGACAACACATATATTTCTAAGTGCTCTGCTTATCACCTCAAAGCAACCTGTGGCCACAAATCCTCAGTGCCTTCCCTGTATGAGCAGTAGGTGATTCAGATCAGAGGACTGAGCCTGCTGAAAAGTAACAAGATAACACCAACAAACAGTGCAGTTCTTACAGCTTGCAGAAAACATGGAGCCCAACCTGAGGCCTGTGATCTAGTTAAGCAGGGCTTTACCACAGCCTTATGAACTCACACCCACCACAGCTAGATGCAGCTGCTGCCCACCATGGATTTTACATTGGCAGTCTCTCTCTCAGAACCAAGAGTTCAGGTTTCTCTGGAAGGCATTTGCTTCACCGAGAAAATAAACAAAAGACCTATCCAGTAAATACAAACAGGCCTAATTGCAAGGAGACCAAAGCCAGATCTCAAGTGTCTTCATTCCTTTCTTTTGTAACCCTGGCAAAGTAAAGCGCTTTTCCAGGGATGCCATATCTTCCCAGGGGTGCAGCCTGTCTCCACAGTGGAGTGCCATGGGCAGGGCAGCAGCTGGGGGAGGCTCTATACAGACAGTGGGGTTTCAGCAGAAGTGGGTAAAATTTCTCCAGAGGGAGCCCTCTCTTAGCATTGAAATCTTGTGCTTCAGACAGGTGTCTTGGTTCAGGCTGGAATAGAGTTCCTGTTCGTTTTGGCAGCGGGAGGAGCTGCAGCCCCCTGCAGACCCCAGGGGCTCCCCAGGCCCCAGAGCCCTCACCTGTGTGCGGGGGCGGGGGGAGCACAGCTGGAGGGCTGGGCCCCGATTGGCCGATAGTCCAGGTCATGTGACACTGTGCTCACTATATAAAGGCAGGAGTGGGCCAGGAGGGGCTCTCACTTCCGGGGGTGTGGCTGTGGGGCCTTGGTGTTTGGGATCGCCGGCCAGGAGCAGGTAAGTGATGAGCAGCTGTATTGTACATTACCTGTTGATACTGCTGTCAGCATATTATTCTGTTACTGTTGCTAAATTGTTTTTATCTCAACCCGCGAGTCTCCCTTTGCCCCTCCGATTCCCTCCCCATTCCCAAGTGGGGGGAGGGTGGGTGAGCGACTGTGTGGCATTTAGCTGCTGAGCAGGCTCAAACCACAACAACTGAATATTGTACTCAGCTTCTCAAAATACATCTTTGAATGATAAATTCAGCACTTTTATCCTTTATTATTCAGGATAAAGGTAAGAGCTTTGAAAATTTCCCAGCAGCCCTGTTCCTTCCGTTAGATCCCTGAAAAACAAATTGCTCTGCAGAAACCAGCCATGTACTGAGTCTTTAGCCCTATAAATATTTCAGAGCAACTTTTTTACAGCTCTCATTTAACCCAAAGACACCACAAAGGGTTCACATCCCTGGATCAGCCCAGGTGTAGAACACTGTGTCTTGGGTTGAGTGAGTGGTGGAGTTTTTTTGGTAGCAGGGGAGGGGGATATAGGGGCGGCCCCCTGTGAGAAGCTTCTCAAAGCTCCCCCAGCTCCAAGCCAGCTCCACTTCTGTTTGGGAAATTGAGCCAATCAGCTGTGCCTCTGTGATAACGTATTTAAGAAGGGATGTGGTGACGGGCAGTCAGACTTGTGAGGAGGAGTTGCTGCAGCTGCATGAACACCAAGGTCAGTGGAGGAATGGAGGAAGAAAGGAGGGGGGAGGTGTGCCGGAGCAGAGACCCCCTGTATCCTGTGGTGAGATGGCAGGGCAGCCCCCCCACCACCACCCATGAAGATCTATGGTGGAGCAGACATTGATTTACGGCCTGTTGCTTCTGCTTGCATGATCAAGGTTCTGTGCCCAAAGAAGGCTGGGGTCTCATGGGAAAAGGTAGCCCCGCTGCCGTAATTCAGTGCTGGGAGGATTGCAGCATGAGGGGGAGTCCCACGCTGGAGCAGCTTGGGAAGGGCTGCAGCCGTGGGAGAGAATCCAGTCAGAGAATGTTAGTGACCCATGACGGAGCAGTG